GCACGATCATTGGCGAGAGGAGCATACCGCGAGGAGGATCTTACTGGCTCGAGAAGACACCGCGCGGGGCGAGGTAGAGCGACTGCACGGGGGTGTTCGGGGAGTGACGACGACCTTTAGGATTGGAGGACACTTCTCATACCCTAGCAGTCGACTGCGTGTGACACTTTCGTGCTTCGTGGCAGAGGAACTTTGGGGACTTAGGCGTCTGGGTGAGATCTACTTTGCGGCTCTTGACTTGGACGGCCTCTGTCGAGGGTACGCTGACAGGGACTGGGTGTTGTATGCGCAGTTTGTAGCGGGGCCGCTTGTAGGCGAGCGAGGGCTCCAGTTGATTGAGTTCCTGCGGACCATTGTACCTACCGGGAGCCCTGACCTATACTCTCTGTACCAGCCCCTAGCCTTCTGGACGGCGCTAGAGAGAGAGAATCGGAGGTCTACAGATCATTTAGCTGGAATAGGACAGCTGTTAGCCGAGACTCGTGAGGAGAGGCCGGACCATCTCATCTCGACCGGGGAGGTTGAGGAGTATTACCGGCAAGTATATCCAGAGGCTGACGATCTTGCGTGGTACGCTGAGGATCGGAATTGGGAGGACTTCGACGACATAGACCCTTGGGGCGATCAGGACGAGGTCTGGGGAGATCTGGCGCAAGCCGAGGGACAGGAGCAGGTAGGTGGAGAGGCGCCGCAGGAGGACGGCTGGGGGCACCTCCTTCAGGTTGAGGGACAGGAGGATATTCCATGGGGTCAGAGGGTAGATGAGGACATAGACGAGGATATGCCAGATGCATGAGACGACTAGAGGCAGGGCATATCTGAGTGAGGTTTAGAGAAGAGAGTAGTTGAGAGACGGAAAGTAGATATCTTTAGGCGAGGCGAGACCGGCAGTAAGAGCAGGAAAGGATGGCAGACAGGGATATACTGAGAGTGACTTTTTCCCTACGACGAGATAGGAAGGGAGGCTGGGAAGATGAAGCGTTGGGCAATGTTGAGCGACAGATCAGACTCATGACAGAGCATGCCCTGGAGATACGGAGAGGCTAGAGGTACGTCGAGTTCACTATCCACTTCCATGGAGCTGACGGGAGAGTGCACAACACCTACTCGGCCATACTGGATCTGAGTGGGAGAGTTGTCTGAGGAGTTAGCAGCATCGTGAGATAGGGTGCGTCGGAGGGATTAGAGCTCTACAGATCGAGAGCCGGAGAGGAGATGAGGAGTGACTCAGTAGTCTGGCTAGCTTATGTTCTCTCACGAGAATCCGAATCCTATAGCGTGAGGAAACTTGTGAGACCCAGAAATACGGATGTTGGATACGACGTTCCTCTTCTTGTGGCGTTAGAGGGGACAGGATGTGTTCCGATACGTTACCTGGAAATGTGGCTGGCAAAGGGACTTTTCCTTTGGACAATGATACTGAAAGATGGACGACCCGAAAGGACTCATGACCTAGAAGGGGTGGGACATCTGATAGCGGATAGAGCACATGATTTAGAGGTAGCACTCACACTCGCAAGAGCGAGCAGGGCTTGGTGGAGAAGCGAGTTGTTGGCCAGAGTGGTCGTTAATCAGCAACTGGCGAGACTCTCTGGAGGAAGGACGTATTGGAGTCGCTTGGTATACGGTCCTCCGCATCCGACCCTCTACCTGAGAGAGGATTGGCAATTCGGACTTCCTGCCTTCGTGATAGGGCAGACCTATGGGAGCGTAGATCGTTTGAGTAGAGCAGTGGACCACACACTTTACGCGCTTTGGGAGGGCTTAGCGCCCCGTTTCAGGGAAGTATACTACGCCATTTGTGTGAGGTGGGGACCGCGCAACAGAGAGACGCTTGACGACATTATAGACGTTACTTGTTGGGTGGACTGTCTGAGGCCAGTCGATCTGATTAGGTACTGCAGGAGACGGGCAGAGATTGATTACATGGGGCTAGAGGATGTGAGGTTTCTCTTCGAGGCCGCATCTTAGGGAATGTCGGGGAGGACGGCCACAGTGATGCGCGTAGGAGAGCAACTGGTAAGCACAGGGTACACTGTGACAGTACTTCTCCGAGCGTACATAGATGAGGACTTGGCGGCGAGGGAGTGCCGACGACGAGCCAGGGGTTTGATCCACGAGCATAGAGCTGATGTACTGGCGCGGGTGACCTTCCAGACCTCGATTTCCTATGATGTGATGATATGGTCACATGGTTATATGCGCGCGGAACACTTCCACGACGAGATGGTAGCTGAGGCTAGAGCGAGGGTGAGAGGATGAGCTGGAAAGAGATGAGGACTGAGTATGGAAGAATGAGTGAGGTAGTCGAAAGAGTGAGAAAGTGCATTAAAGAACCACTCTTGAACCAGGTAAAGGAGTTAGAGAACAAGATAAGGGAGATCGTGACGTGCCAGGACAAGGGCAAGCTGCGTAGGGTTGAGCTCGTGACGAGAGAGTTAGGGAGTTTGTTCAAGGAGGCGAGAGAGCTTATCCAGGCATGGAGATCAGACTTTCTGGAGAGGGTAAAGACTAGGATCACGCGAAGGAACTGGAGAGAAGTCTGCAGAGGGCGTGACAACGGAGGACAAGGTAACGCAGGGAGGTAGCGACAGGACATGAGCGGGACCGCACTACACACGACGGATCGGTACTCATTGCATGTGGTAGGGAGACTGGACGGACCGTTGGTGTTAGTGATCGTAGAGCTCCAGCTCCATACCAGACTATGTATAGTTGAGGAGGCGGAGTGTGTTCGACGTGCCCTGCGTGAGGCTAGGGGGACAGGACTTTGGATTGGAGTAGGAGGAGGACGAAGGATAAAATACGTACTTCGAGTAACACCTTTCGAAGGACGGTCTCAGATAAGGGCATGGTACGAGACGACCAAAGAGGCTGAGAGGTTGAAGATAAGCGAAGCCAGGAGAGCTGGGGAGCTAGGGAGAGTTATAGTAGACGAAGCGATACTGAGGGTGTTAGCTGCTCACGACCGATACAGGAAGGAATCGATAAGAATATTGGAAGCCATAGAGGATAGTGGAGATGAGGAGGATTTTGAGACATTCTATGATATATTGGAGTTGTCGGCAGTGAGACTACGAGCGGCTATAGCACTGACTACCCTCAGATACTAAACAGGTGACCTCATAGCTGTCTGCGAGTAAGAGGAGTGGAGATAGAGATTGGAAGCTCTTAGAAAGATAGTAGAGGTCAGAAAGGCCGACGAGCGACTTTGGATGGCAATAGGAGGAGAGCTTCCCCCTTTAGCGGGCTACCCGACTCAGGACGTGCTGGGAGACCTAGCAAGGAGGACGGAGATAGACGCTTGGAGGCTCTTGAGGGGTGCTGACCAGGAGACAGTGGTTAGGCTTGGGACTGCGATCTGCCGCATGCGTAGAGATCATGTCACGGGCGTACTGCAGATCCGGAGAGGCGCGGCCTTGTTGGGCGATCCCGAAGGAGAGGTTTACCTACACACAGGGATTCTTGGGATAGAGGGAGAGCACGAGATCCGCGACCAGAACGAAGTACGGGCTGGGACTTCTATCACAGGTCCGGGCTTCGAGACTATCACAGGTCCGGGCTGCGAGACTATCACAGGTCCGGGCTGCGAAACTATCAAAGGTCCGGGCTGCTGCAACTGTCATAGGTCCGGGCTGTAACGCTTTGCGTAAGTGCCCGACTATAGCTTCTGGTAGCCTATGGAACCGGACACGATGGAGTCACAACCAACCACGGGCGAAGCAGGAGAGGAGTACAGGACAGCGCCCGACCGAGCACTGAGGGATCTGAAGGAACGAATTAGGCGGGAAACACCACTGAGATGGGTTGACCAAACCAATGACGGAGAGCCCGACGTAATGGGTGAGCCGGCCATGACAGAGCCGCAGGAGGCTCTGAAGACTGGAACCTCGAGCGCCCGACGAGAAGCGACGAGACGACGCTCCCCTGAATATGAGCGAAGGGAGACCATGGCGGATAGGCACATGGACGACCGGAGAGAGAGTTCGAGGGATTCTTATTGGAGGGACAAAGATAGAGATAGGGCACCGCCCCGGCGTGTCTTCGACCCCCAAACGGGGGAATCTACCCGCTCCCTTACGAAAGCAAGGATCACTATATTATTACGCACAAGGCCTCAGAGCCTCCTACTTTCAGGGGCTATGGCATTACAGAATATCTGGAGAAGTGGGAGCTTCATGCTAGCCGGAGTCAGTGGTCGGAGGAAGAGATTATAGAGAACTTCTTATTTAATGTGGACCCAAGTCTCGACAAGGAAGTTAAGGAAGCCCGACCGAGGGATGGGAAATGGACTACGTACAAGAAGAACCTCGTTGAGCTTTACAAATTGGAGGAAAACAAATACTCCATTAAGGACCTTGAGACAATGACTTAAGATGAAGATGAGAGCGTACGGGCATTTGGGATGTGTTTCCAGAAGATCTCCGACGTGCTGATGAAGAAGGGGAAGATCTCAGAGGTCGAGCGCTGTACTATCTTCATCGGACACCTGTCCAAAGGCAGACAAAAGAGTATACTTAGAGATCTTTCACGCGACAAGCTTGATTTCCCAGAAGTCCTAAAACTTGCAATAAAGGCAGAGGCAGATGACTACGAAGACTTGGTATGGAGGGGAATGAGGAGACGTGATTTCACTCTCTATAAGGAATATGCCACTGATAGATGCCCTGATTTCAAGGACTATCCCTGGTCGAAAAAGAATGAAGCTGTGGCTGAGGAAGTGAAGGAGATAAGGGACATGGTAAAGGGATTGACAAGACAGGTTACAGAGATTGTGACCACCACAGGAGCCACGACTTACCAGGACAAACCCGGAGGACCCTATTCACTTCGCTGGGACCATAGGAATACTGATTTCTGGAGGAGTGTCGAGGATAGATACCCTCGGACGCTGGCTGATTATCGTGCGAGGGAGAGGGAGAGAGACGATGAGCCATGGCGACGTAGGGATGATGAGATAGACCAGGACCGTAGAGCTCGCGAGACGTATGGGCGAGCTAGGAGGCTGGATGATTACTCGCGTAGCCCTCGCTATGAGGCCGATCGGGGTAGAGGTGACTCTCGAGGCCGGTGGGAGTCAGATCAGGGCCGACGAGATGGATACAGGGACAACAGATATGAGAGATGAGACCGGGATGGATATAGGGACGGAAGATATGAGAGAACGGATCGAGATGGATACAAAGGTGGCGGATATGAGACGGGAGATCGAGACGGGGACCGACGAGATGACTCGAGCGGACGGTATGACCGCAGGGGATACGCGAGAGAGCAGCGCGACGATTCGCGGGGGTAATACAACCGAGGAGATCGACGAGATGAGTCACGCGGGCGATACGACTCTGGAGACCGCCAAAACGATTCACGAGGACGATATGAGCTAGGAGGATCTGGAGGAGACCGCCGCAATGATTCGCGCGGCCGGAATGAGAGAGGGGGATATGGCGCCTCATCATAACCGTATCCCAAGTCCCATGACCCCAGGGCAGCCAGGGGTTCGATCTCTAGGAGCGCAGACGACAGGCCATCTACTCCCAGGAACTCATGCGTCTACTGTAGAGGAGATGATCACATCAAGAGAGACTGCCCGAATCTCAAGCGAGCAATAGATGAGGGGCTTGTCGTGCTTGATGACCGCAAGTACGTCAAGTGGGCAGACGATCTGGGAGACGTATCAATGTTCCTCTCGATGAAGGAGAATGTAGAAGCAAGGAGAGAAAGGCCGAGTAAAGGAAAGGAGCCGGTTAGGAGCCAGAGCATCAAAATAACTTTCAAAGGAGATATGGCAACCGCACCCATAAGGGTAACAGCTACCAAGTCGGTGAGAGGGTCTACATCGAAAAAGACTGATACGGATTACGTGATGGCGGAAAAGGATGGACAACAGATCGATGGAGAGGAGGTTATTCTTTCACCGCGAAAGCGGGAAGTGAAGAAGTTCTTGATGAAGAGTTTGCTGGACGAGATTGACATAGTTGAGCCACTGAGGCGAGCCCTTCGACAGCCCATGCAATGCTCTATTCTGGAGTACCTGGCGGCATCGAAGCCAGCTCGCGATGAGTTACAGATGATCACGCGGAAGACTCGCATACCTCTATCAGAGGAGGCTCAGGGGACCCCTAAGGCGGATGCTCCTACTGTAGCAGTAACGGGGGTGACTGCTAGAGCGGATCGCATGGCGACAGTCCTTGATGGGATGGAAGGTGTCCCTCCAGACAAGTTTTACATATTTCGTAGTGGGGCTGTGGAGGCGATCATAAATGATGGAGCGGTACTAGATGCTGTGATCGATAATGGCAGTGAGGTTGTCATTATAGACAAGGATCTGGCAGTGCAGGTTGGACTGGGCCTCGATAGGTCATACCTATTCGAGATAGAAACAGCTGATGGGAGAAAGCAACAGATCACCAGGGTTTGTCACAAGGCAACCATAGAGGTCCAAGGGGTACGAGTGACCCTGCCTGTCTTTGCAGTCAAGAACTGCAGCTCCGATCTGCTCTTGGGATGAGCGTGGTTGAGCCACGTGCATGCGGTGACGACAGAGTGACCGGACGGGAGCCAGACATTGTCTATAAAGAAGCTAGATGGGACGCGGATTATGATTGAGACGGTGGAGCCTCGAGACCCGAGGAACAGAGCGGCTCTCGCTGTGGGAGCGGGACCCGGTGACCAGATTAAGTCGTTACCTATCTCCGGCCGCGCGGTGCGATTTTGCGAGAAGAAGTATGGACCACTGCTCACAGAGGAAGAAGGTCGGATCGTGGAAGTGGAAGATTTAGGGAGTCGGCTGATAGTGGACGACATCTCGTACCCAAAGGAGACAGATGAGGAATTTGGCGGTGTGGTATTTGTGTCTTTTTTAAGGGCGCGGCCCCCTATGGAGGGCTACCCAAGCGACACAAGCGAGTAGCTCAAAAAGTTAAGCCAGCGGCGGTGGGCCGCGAGCGATCTGCACTAGAAGGGATATCGGAAGAAGAGATCGCAAAGGAAATCAAAGAGAGGAAGAGAGAGGAGCCGCAACGCCTGACGGAAGAGAGGATAGCAGGGATGGACATCGGAGATGATAACCTGACCCCTCAGGAGTGGAAACGTGTGATAGAGATCCTAAAGATGTGCGATAAGGCTATAGCCTTCAGCGATGCGGAGCGTGGTAGGGTTGACCCTCAATATGCAAAGCCAGCAAGGATTTACACGATTCCACATATTCCATGGAATGACGCATGGTGGAAATACGCACAGAGGGAGAAGGAAGAAGTTATCGCTTTCCTGAAAGAAAAGATGGCTTCCCATGTTGCGGAGCCGTCTGATCGCGCTTATGCTAATTGATGGTTCTTCCACGAAAGCCGAATGGCAAGATCCGGTGGATCCAGGACCTTCAGAAGGTCAACGTGGTGACGATACGAGACGTGGGCTCCGTGCCACACGCCCACTTATTGGCTGAAGGCGCCGCAGGCAGGTCGATTTATTCGGTCTGTGATCTGTTCTCAGGCTATGATTAGGTACTGCTTGATCCTAGGGACAGGCACCTCACGGCTATGCACACACCATTGGGACTGATACAGATGATGGTTGTCCCTATGGGTTGGACTAACGGGGTAGCAGTAGTCCAGAGAGCTATGGTAGCCGTCCTCAAGGACTTCATTTCTTACAAGGTTGAAGTTTTTTTGGATGACTTCCCTATTAAGGGACCAGTCCAAAAAGATGAGATAAAAGTTGTACCAGGAGTTAGGAGATTCGTCGAGCAGCACCTAACCGATATTTGCGCGGTTCTCGAGCAGTTAGACGATGCAAATTTGACGGTCAGCGGAACAAAGAGCCGCTGGGCCGTCTCGACTATTAAGATCTTAGGCTTTATCTGTGACTCGAGAGGACGCCAAGCAGATCCGGCGAAGCTAGACAAACTCCTAAATTGGCCGTCACCGTTACATAGTCCAACCGAGGTCCGACAATTTCTGGGAGTGGTCGGTTACTGGCGGATATTCATACGAGGTATGCGGAGAAGGCTGAGCCATTGAGGTTACTCCTTCGAAAGACTGAAAAATTATGTTGGGATTCCTCGCAGGAACTCGCTATGCAAGAGCTTAAAGACGAATTTAAGGAGGGAGGACGCGTACTGGGCGTGCCATTCTTTGATGATGAGGCTGGGAGACCCTTCATAGTATCCACGGATGCTGGACCTTGTCCAGTTGGGGGACTGCTATCTCAGAAGGACGCTGAAGGGAAGGAAAGACCGTTAAGATTTGAGAGTATGACACTTAATACGGCAGAGCGTAACTACAGTCAATTCAAGAAGGAAGTGTTAGATGTTCTGCGGTGTCTAGACACGTTCAGGCATTATATCTATGATGGACGCCGGTTCATCTTAAGAGTAGATCCCACAGCGGTCTCCTCTGTCCTCCAGAAGGACTTTAGTCTGACGGACCCGACCATCGCGCGGTGGTTAATACGGATTCGACTATATGTTTACGCAGTTGAGAGGGTATCTGGCACTAAAAACGTTGTGGCAGATGGGCTTTCGCGGATCCCTCTTGAGGCCGAGCGCCCGATAGTAACTGGAGCCCTGACATTGGTAGAGCCGAGACGCGCAAACGACTTCTGGTTAATCTTTACGAGGGCAAATATCGAACGATCGGGCTACACCTGTCAGGAGAGGAGAGTCAAACTTCAGATATCAGGAGACAAGCGGCTCAGTACTGCCTTAGAGCGGGTCATCTATTCCGAAGGTCGGTCGGCTCGGGGATGCCCTTACGAGTAGTCTGTGATCCTGAGGAGAGACAGACGATAGTTGCGGAGCTCCACGACGGGGTAGTCGGAGGGCATAGAGGAGTCAAAGGGACCTACGAAAAAGTACGCAGGTTGTACTGGTGGGAAGGGCAGTATAAGGACGTTGAGAGATACTGCATGACATGCGAAGAGTGTCAGAAGAGAGCTCTTGTGAAATACAAAGAGCCACTTCATCCATCCTATCCAACCAGACCGGGAGAGAAGGTACACATTTATCTGGTGAAGATGCCGAAAAAAGTAGGCAATATGAACTACGTCGTGAACATACGAGACGACTTCACTGGGTTCGTGGACGACAGCCCTATCAGGAGCAAGACGACAAAGGAAGTGAAGAACTTCGTCCTGGAGTACTTATCTAGGTATGGTTGTGTCAGCAAGATAGTGATGGACAGAGGGGCGAAATTTCTAGCTGACGAGGTCCAAAGTGTGTTCAAGAGAGCTGGGGCGAGAGTTTCAATAGTCACCGCCTACCACCCACAGTCGAATTCCCAAGTAGAGAGGGGACACAAGACTCTGATAGCGTCACTATCCAAGTGGTGCAAGGGTAAGGACAGTGATTGGCCACGATATTTTCGATACGCAATATGGGCGGACAACGTCACGGTCCGGGCTAGCACTGGATACCCACCATACACCTTGTGGTTTGGGCGGCATTGTCCACTCCCCATAGAGTTTCACGTCGACAGTTGGACAACCGTCGACTAGGCGGAGGAGATGTCCAGAGAGGAACTCATAGCTGCCCGAACAAGGCAGATAGCCTACGGATTGGAAGACAACCTTATGACAGTGGCAGATCGTCTGGCAGTGGAAAGGGACAAAGGTAAAGAGAGATGGGATAAGAGCGTGCGGATCAGGAAAGAGAGGGTGAGCATAGGAGATATGATCCTTCTCTACGACGCAGCACTGGAGAGGACCTGGACCGAAAAACTCGCCAACAGATGGATGGGACCTTACAGAGTGGTTGAGGCGCTCGACTGGGGGGCCTATATGATAGCAGAATTAGACGGATCCAAGTGGAAGGACCTCGTGGCGGGTGCTAGGTTAAAGTTGTTTAGGCCCAGTCCAGCACCCACCTTATCGCTGACGGGCCCAAAAGGAAAAGGGAAGGCTAAAATGGAGGATGGAGCCCCCTTCAGACGATTCGAGGCTGGTGAAAGTTCCAAGAAGAGGAAAAGAGTGGAGAGAAGAAAGGTCAAAGGGTTGGCATTACGACGAGAGAAAAAATTGTTATTCGTGCTCAAGAGGGCCAGACGGAGAGTGCGCATTAGACAAACTGGCGGATCGGCACCTTTCTCGTGCCGTCGTCAGAAGAAAAAGAGGATACTACCAAGGCCGAGAACCCGGAGGAAAAGGGAAGTCAAGAAACATCTGCTTAGCCCTAGAACTTAAAACGAACTAAAACATAAGATGATTAAACCCCGACGTGGGTGACCTTTACGGGCAATCACCCTGAAGCTCGTCCACTTCGTTTGACGAGAGTGGTTCGGGCTCGACGGGGGCGTCGAGAAGTGGTCCGGGCTAACTGTGAGGCCGCCACAAGCAGTGCGCCGCCTGAAATCTGTGGCTTTGGGATTTAGGCTCAAAGGCAAGTCCGTGTTTTCACGGTACTCTAGTTCGACTGGGCAGCAAAAATTAGGGGAACTTTGGGCACCCCTGACTTTGGGCACACTGAACCTTACGAGTAGCCCTCAAAGATAGCGAGATGAGCGGCCGCACTCGGCGCATCTAGGGACCGTCATTTCCGACCGTTCAGAGGGTTAGACCCGGATTGGCCTGCCGCGGAGAGGCATCGCGGGAACAGAGCTCGCCGCAACGTTTTTGCAGCGTACGACTGGGGCCGAAACGAGGCCTCAAATTTTTGACTATTTTAGTACCATAATTAGAGATGGGGAAAAAGGATTAAGACCAGTAGGGGAAAAGGGAAAAACATAATATCCCTTGATATCTTTATTTTACACGACATGTAGATCTAGGGGGAAAAACCCTTGTATTTTATGATCCCGACAATGAATTTAAAAACATAGAAAAAAGATTTAACAATGGAAAAGGAGAAAAGAAACAAAAGAAATTCGGCCATTTATTTAAACTCTTTCGGAAATCAATTTTGGGGTACTTACGACTGATCTACTATTTCCGACAATAGAATTAAGGAAAAGAAAAAATGATTAAAAACAATGAAAGGGACAGGAACCCATGACTACTGGGAGATTGACCTGATTTCGCCTCGATTGCCCGCCATCAACCCTGACCCCGGATGGATCATTTTCCTCGGATTCTAACGCTTTATACTACTGCCGAAGATCGAGGTTCCCTGCGTCACACTCCCTGGATTGCTTGATTACTAACATTACCGCAGTTGGAATGTTCTGAGAGCGGGAGTCCCGTGGACAGCATGCGGTGGTGCTACCTTTGGACGA